GCCCCGATGGGTCACCTGGCGCTGGGATTCGGTTCCTGCAACTGAAAACCAGAGCCGCCGAGCCACGGTCGGGGCGCCGGTGCCGGTCTGAGCTAACCGGCCTGGAGGCCCAGCCCGGACGGCGGGGGGACCGGGGGGACCGGGGGAGCTCACACTCGCCTCTCCGTTCAGAGGAGCCTGAGCCGCGAGGCCCAGGCTGAGCTGTCACCACTGCTCACACCGCCGGGCGGGTGGGACAGACCGGCCAGACCCCTTCCGCAGCCCCCTGCCCCCGCCGGGGCCACCTCCACGCCGCTCTGCGCGGACAGGGACCGGGAGGCGGGCCTTGCTCCCCCAGCACCGAGCATGGAGCATCTCGGGCGGGATGGGGTGGGGGCGGAGATGGTGCTGGGACCGGCAGCGCCCCTGACCCCGGTCCTCCCGTTGCCGGAGGACATTCCCGGTCGCTGCACAGCCAGCCCGACTTCATCATGGGCCAGGCTGGCGCGGCTCCTCGCCGCGGGCAGGGAGGGCCGCGGTGGGCGCCCGGCCCGGCGCGTCAGCAGATTCCGGCCTCTCCGCCGGGTCACCGGGACAAAGGGCGGGGCCGCACCTGCTGCGCCGGGCGGCGGAGAGGAGCCCCGGGCCTCCGTCACGGCAGACACGGTCGCAGCGGATCGGGTGTCCGGCGTGTGCTGGCTCCGGTCTCCCACCGGCGCCCGCCGGGCCGGGCGGCAGCAGCGCGGCCAGGACAGCGCTCCCACGGCGCCAAGGGCCCTGAGCACCCCGAGGGGCGGCCGGCCGGCGCGGTCCCGGGAGGGATGTGCGGAGCCGCGTTCCGCCCTGTGCCGTCTCCGCTCCTTCTCCGCCAGCACGGACCCCGGTTCCACACGGGAAGTCTCGGGTTCTCCAGGGCAAAGGGCCCGGGGAACGGGGGGTTTTTGAGATGTGAGTGTCAGCTTTGCGTCCGTCACACCAGGTACCATCGGACAAAAGCTGCGTGTGGTGTGCTCCCTGCTGGGCAGGCACGGGCCACCCCGTCGCCGGGGCACGGAGAGCCACCCACCGTGCCGCAGTCCCCGGACCGGCTCGGCCTCCGTCACCAGCGAAGGGGGAGCGGCTCCTCGGAGGGAAACGTGAGCCGGGGGACGGCGTGGGCACTGGCATCGGCTCAGAGGAGGCAGAGAGGGGGCGCAGGCGTCTGTGAGGGCACTGCCATGGGTCACTGTGCTCAACACCCACCAGGCGCCCACTCCTCACTCTCTCACCGGAGCGCCGTCGCCATTCACAACGCCGGCGGCACACGCCCGGAGCCAGGGCTGCTCAGGGCAGGCCGGACCTCCGTGTGCTGTGCCCGGCTGCTGCCATGGCCTGTGAGCCGCCTGGGAAGCCGAGCCCACACCGTGCAGCAGCGCCCTCAGCGTCCTGGTCTCCCAAGCGCAGTCTGAGGGGCTTGGCCCTCCTCACTGTCTCAGACCCGCTGCCACATGGTCTGCACAGCACAGCAAAGCCCTGCCCCTGTCCTCTGGGGGGGGCGGGGGGCGGAGAGAGGCAGGAGGGGCACCAGGGGCCTCGCTGGGTGCAGCCAGGAGCGGCGCCGGGGACAGTATGTCTTCACATTACACACCTGGTACCAGATGAGGGTGCCTCCGAATTAACTACCAAGACACTCGCCGGTTACAGATGACCGCACCGTCCGGGCGGGAGCAGCCTCTGGCCACACCCTGAGCCGGGCACCCCCACACGGCGGAGGGAGCACCGCACACGGTGGAGGGAGCACTGGCTCAGGGGCTAAGCATCGACCCATGAATCAGGAGGTCAGGATTCATTCCCGCTCAGGGCACAGGCCCAAGTTGCAGGCTGGATCCCCAGTAGGGGTCTCTCTCATCACTGATGTTTCTCTCTCTCCCTCTCCCTTCCTCTCTGAAATCAATAAAAATATTTTTAAAGAGAGAGAGAGACTGGATTCAATGGAAAGTCAGCTCCATCCACCTCTGCTCCCCCCACCCCCGCCCACACTCGCTCCCTCTGTGCTCAGCCGCGTGCTCTGCCGCAGACCCGGCCTGTGCGGGCGGAGGAGGGCTCAGCAGCCGCGGCGGACTCTGCCCCTAAGCCTGTGGGTGAAACGGCGTGGAACGGCCGGCAGAGCTGCCTGTGAGCGATCTGGGCTCCCCTCACCTCTCTGACCGGGTCCCTGAGGAGCTCAGCGGGGACTTCAGCATCGCGTCTCCTCGGCACAGTCTCCTTACCCTTCCAGCCTCTCCCGCTGCCCTCCGGCTCGGGGCCCGGAGACCGGGTCTTGAAACGGAGTCCAGTCCAGGGCGCAGGTGCCTACAGCTGGTGAGCGCCGTCAGGACCGCCGGGTCCCTCCCGGGGAGCGCAGGCAGCCCCACGCACTCTGGCCAGTAACTCACCTAGCCCCACGCACCCCGGCCAATGACAGACGCAGGGGAAGTGAGGGGGCCCCTCCCCTCAGGTTCCACTCTTCCTTCACTGGTGCTGACACTGGCCCCGATGCCTCTGATCCTGTCCTCATCTGTGAACTGGGAGCACTCACACCCCCCCTGTGGGACGCCCTGTGGTCGGGGCACTCACACCCACCCCGTAGGATGCCCTGTGATCAGGGGCACTCACACCCACCCTGTGGTCAGGGAAGGCTCTGCCACGGCTCCTGGAGCCAGCACGGCTTGCTCGGCAGCTGTGAGCGTCCTGTCCAGTCGCTGTTGCGTGGCCGTGCCCTCGGCTCTCCCTCTCTGGGTCAGAGAGGTGCCGGTGGAGGCCATGGTGCTAAGACCGAAGCCATAGACGGTCGTGTTGACTCTCAGGAGAAGCCATAGGTCACCTCGTCTCCTGCGTCAGCACGGCCCCGGGACTGAGGCTCCTGGTGTGGCAGGTGTCCATGGAGGGAAAGGACCGGGCTCCTGGGAGACCGTTTCCACTGGATAGAAGTGTCAGCTGCAGAGCTGCGCAGGCCGGCGGGTGGCTGGGAGGAGAGGATCTGGATGAGGGATCCACACATCCGGCAAAGGGTGGCCTGCGTGGCACGGGTCCCGGTGCCAGGGGCGGGCTCGCAGAGGGCAGACAGCGGCTTTCAGCGCGGCCACCTCTCACGGAGCGCCGGCATCCTCTGAAGACAGAGGGAGAGACGATGGTAATTTGCGGCTAACAAGAGACTGGCCAGGACATGAAAGAAGAGAGAATGAGTGCCCACAGGAGTTGTTGGAAAACTCCTTTTCCTGGGGTCTCGACAGAGCAGGCTTTTGGGGGCATTGGGGTCCGCGCTCCCCGGTGTTTCTGGCCTGTCACCCCAGCACCCGCCAGGGTCTGTGCGGCAGGAGGACACCCCAGCCGTGTCACCCTTCGGGGCTCCCAGCCAGCGCGCCTCCTGCCCGGCCAGGCACCTGTGGCCACTTCCCGTACAGTTTCCGGGGTGTTCCCTCAGACCCGGAGGGAGGAACAGGAAAAGTGCTTCTGCGCCACACAGGAAGTGGGGGTCAAAGGTAGGCGTTTCTTGCTTGGCAGTTCCTTGTCCTCTTACTGGTTGGGATTACTTATCTGACCTTTATTTTATTAAACATTTTTTCATTTTCACTGGAAATTTTTCCTGCATCTAAGAGCTTCTGAGCAAGGAACTGGAAAGCGTCTCAAATGCAAGACCACACCCTGCTGTGCCACACCCTCTGCGCCACACCCTCTGCACCACTCCCCTCTGCGCCACACCCCTCTACACCACTCCCTCTGTGCCACTCCCTCTGTGCCACTCCCTCTGTGCCACACCCCTCTGTGCCACACCCTCTGGCGGTCACCGGCCCCTTCCAATGGCTGCAGCAATAAGCCAGCGCTCCCTGAGGCCGGCACCTCCCACTGTCTGTGATGCACTGGTACCTCGGAAGCAGAGACCGCTGCCTGCCTGCCTGCCCTCGGCCTTGGCAAAGGCCGCCCAGGGCCTGACGGGTCCCCACGGGCACCCTGCTTCTTGCTTTTATTACTACTTTTTTTTATTATTATTATTATTTTTTGGTTAATCCTCACCCAAGGATATTTCCCCATTGATTTTTAGAGAGAGTGGAAGGGCAAGGGAGACACACAGAGAAACATGGCTGTGAGAGAGACACATCGATTGGTTGCCTCCTGCATGCACGCCCACCAGGGCCAGGGAATCTACAACCGAGGTACGTGCCCTTGACCGGAATTGAACCTGCAACCCTTCCATCCGCAAGCCGACACTCTGTCCACTGGGCCAAACCGGTTAGGGCTGCTTCTTGCTTTTATAAGCCGGCGTGGCTCAGTGGCTGAGCAAGAACCTATGAACCAGGAGGTCATGATTCCATTCCCGGTCAGGGCACGTGCCCTGGTGCCAGGCTGGATCCCCAGTGGTGGGGCGTGCAAGAGGCAGCTGATCAATGACGCTCGCTCATCATGGATGTTTCTATCTCTGTCTCCCTCTTCCTTCCTCTCTGAAATCAATAAAAACATATTTTTTAAAAAAGTGGAACAAGAAAACCCTAAGGAGCCACCGCGGCGTTGTTGGCAGCAGGAGCCGGGGGCGTCCCCGAACCTCCTCCTGCCGACCAGGCTCTGCCCCAGCCCCGGCTCACGTGGACCAGGGAGCAGCTGCGCCCTCCCAGCCCGGAGGGCCGGCCGGGGCGATAGGCGAGCATTGCTGTCCGGCGGGCGCCAGGTCCCTGGGGAAAGATTAACAGGCCGTGGTGCGCTCAGATTCCTCGCCCCGGGGTACAGAGGGGGCTGTTTGTGGTGCCGCAGGAGGCAGGACAGACGGGGGAGGATGTTGCAATCCACACATCTGGCCTGGACGTGCTGGGGCAGGTCAGGGGGGCGGTGAGGGGAGCGGCGGAGCAGGCCCCGCGGAGCAGGCCGGGCTGAGGCCGGGCAGGTCCGTGCACAGCGGCTCTCTCAGGGCGCTCACTTCTGGTCCGAGCCGCGCCGAGCTGGCCGCAGCTGGGCCGGGACATTCCGGCCGCCGGGACCTGCTCGGACCCTCGGCCGCGGCCGCCGCCGCGATGCCCACGGTGGACGACGTGCTCGTCCAGGTCGGGGAGTTCCACCTCTTCCAGAAGCAGACGTTCCTCCTCCTCGCCCTGCTCTCGGCCGCCATGCCCCCCATCTACGTGGGCGTCGTGTTCCTGGGCTTCACCCCCGAGCACCGCTGCCGCCCGAGCCCGGGCGCAGCCCAGCTGAGCCGGCGCTGTGGCTGGAGCCCGGCCCAGGAGCTCAACCTCACGGCGCCCGGCCCGGGGCCCGCGGGCGAGGCCTTCCCCCGCCGCTGCCGCCGCTTCCGGGTGGACTGGAACCGCAGCGGCCTGGGCTGCGCAGACCCGCTGGCCGACCTGGCCGCCGACCGCAGCCTCCTGCCGCTGGGCCCCTGCGGGCACGGCTGGGCGTACGACACGCCCGGCTCCTCCATCGTGACCGAGGTGAGTGAGGCAGGACTCGCACCGACTGCGAGCAGCGCCGTCCACGGACGCTGGGAAATAGACCGGAGCCACAGAAGCACGGACAGCCTGCCGAGCCTCAGCGGGAAGGCAGGGGAGGGCGGGTGGGGAGAGATCAGCCAACGATCTTGTATGCATCCAGGCATCAGCGTGGACACAGACAATGGGGGATGAGGGCGGGGGGAGTGACGAGAGCGGGCTGGAAGAGGTTAACGGGGGAAAGGAGGACTTGTGGAATACTATCAACAATAAGGATAAACATTTAGAAGGAGAGTGTAGCCAATGAGGCCCACGCACGCTCCTTGGACTCGGGGTGTCTTAGAAAGCCCCAGTGTCTGACAAACACAGGCAGCCTCTCATTTGTCTGGAGTGCGAGTGGATTCGCCAAAACCCGGTCAGATTCTACCATGATTCTCCTGTTTGCAACTCCCGGCAGGAAGGAACCAGCAAAAGCCGGGGAGAATCCCGGAAATAACGCGGGGAAGGGAAGGATCCAGGCCCCTCTTTCTCTGGCAGCCCCGCCGCCCCCTCCTCGCTGCCTCACGCGGAGGGGCCCGGAGAGCTCGCGGGCACCTGAGCTGTGCCGGTGGCTCCGTGCCCTGCGCTCCTCTGGCCAGCCACGGGGCGGGGGGGGAGGGGAGGGCTTCTGCCATGGCTCCCTACGTTATTGAAAACCAGAGGCCACGTTAGCACCGTTAGCATCCAATAGCAAAAGCTCATTCCAATATATATATAGAGAGAAAAAAAACAAGAGATGTGCTTTCCCTTGAGGCAAAGCAAAATGGGGGAGGGGCGGTCGCTCTGAGAACACAGAGCATGCCGCTGCCCGGCTCCTTGGAAAGACTGTGGCTCCAGTGCAAACAGTCAGCTCCAGGGCCCTTTATAAGGACCTTAGATGGTCTGGGAGTCGCATAAAATGCTGAGTCACAGGCTCAGCCCCACACAACGCTGAGGCTTTACAGCAGATACATCACCCCTCCCTCAGACACGGGAAAACGGAGGTCCGGAGCCGGGGAGGTTACCCCCGAGGCCACGGCCTGAGAGGGTTCGCCGTCAGCCCCGACGGAATTGCCTGTCCCTCCGTCCACACCGCTCCGGTTCCAGACAGGGCAGGTGTCCCAGCCTCCGCAGGCGCTCCCAGGCCCGGCCATCAGCAGGGGTGGGGAGCGTCCGGCCAGGGCGGGAGGGGTGCATTCTCATCAAATGTTTGGCCAAATATAGCAGGCTGATTTTTATTTATTTTTTTATTTATTTTATTGATTTTTAACAGAGAGAAAGAGAGAGAGATAGAGAGCTAGAAACGTCGTCAATGAGAGAGAAACATCGACCAGCTGCCTCCTGCACACCCCCCACCGGGGATGTGCCCGCAACCAAGGTACATGCCCTTGACCGGAATCGAACCTGGGACCTTTCAGTCCGCAGACCGATGCTCTACCACTGAGCCAAACCGGCTTCGGCAGCAGGCTGATTTTTAAGCTGATTTTAATTTTGTATGGCCCGAGAATGATGTGATCAATATTCAAATGGTTTGGCTCAGTGGCCTGTGGACTGAAGGGTTCCAGGTTCGATTCCAGTCGAGGGCACAGGCCCAGGTTGTGGGCTAAATAAATAAATACCAAGTGGCCCGTGGCAGGAAAAAAAAAGGACACTCCCTGCCCCCTCTCCCCCGGCCTTAAAGAGACAGTAAAGAGACCAGCAACAACCCAGCCTTCTGCAGACAGCCTCTGGGTGCCGCTCACACGCCTGTCTGCTGCCGGGAACTACCTTAGAGCGGGGACTGGTTCTGGGCAGAAACGAAGTCACTGCCAGTTTCAGCCGATGCCGCCCACAAAGGGGTTCAGCCCCACGACCTACCGCCAGGCGGGATGCTGAGCAGACGGGGGACAAAGCTTTTGCGGGGAGACAATTAGCACAACGGCGAGGAGACAGCGGTTACCGCCTCCGGCCCAGGGGTCCGCGCGGGGACACAGGGCAGCCCCGGCCGGGGGGGTCTGACCGGCTCTGTTTCTCTCCCTCGGACGCGGGACCTGCCGGCCCTCGGCAGTTTAACCTGGTGTGCGCCGACGCCTGGATGCTGGACCTGGTGCAGGTGGCCGTGAACCTGGGGTTTTTCCTCGGCTCCGTGGGCATCGGCTTCGTGGCAGACAGGTGGGTGCCGCGGGCTCCGGGAGCGTGGGTTCGGCCGTCCCCGCTGGAACGCCGGCTTCTCTGAGCCCACAGCCTGCAGGGCCTGCCTGGCAGCACGCCGGCCGCCTCAGGCTCCCTCAGCCCGCAGGTAAGCCTGGCGCATGTCACCCCCGTCCTCCGGGACCTCAGAGAGGGCTCTGGATTCGGCAGTGGCTCTGCCCAGGGCCAGGTGCCAGGGAGGGGAATAGAGGGTTTGGCCCAAGTCCTTCTCCTCTCCCCAGCCCCCACCCCCTGGTCCTGAGCCTCCGGCCTCTGAGCTCCGGGTCCTCGCCTGCCTGTCCTGTGCCCACATCGATGCCCGCTGCCCCGATGGCCGGACTCTCAGGGCCCAGGGCCGAGGCGATTGTAGGCGTGGAGCCAGGACGGCGTGGGGTGAAAGGAGGGCCGGTCTGCATGGAGAGGGTAGCTCTCCACTGCCCCAGAGTCGGTGTGGCTGGAGAGAGGCGAGGGAGCCGCCGAGGGGGACGTCACAGGTCCCCTCAGTGGCCTGTGTCTTCAGGGCTGCTGCCCCGTGACGCCCAGCCCCCCAGAACTGTCATGTACCCATCACCAGGGGACCCCAGACTCCCTGCGCTGAAAGCTCCTCGCAACACGGACCCCTGCTCTGCCGGTGGCCAGTGCGGTGTTTGCAGGAGCCCTCAAAGGGCAGGGAACAGAAAAAGGTGCTTTATACTCGACAAGCACTTTGGACCGCTTGACCATCAGGGCTAATTATTTAATACTCACCTGCCTCTGTTCAGTGTTTCCCCGTGTTTCCATGTGCCAATCACGCACTCAACATTTGGGACATCATCGGTTACCTAGTGAGAGAGATTTAGAAACACATCTAAGTTTTATAATCACATAGTTGTATATGAATATGCAATTTTATGTAAATATATACTATGTAATGTTATATGAATATACAATCGTTATCATACTAGAGGCCCTGGTTGCCACGAGGCCCCTCGGCCCCGCTCCTGACGGTTCCAGAAGGTCATTCTATTATAGTTAGCGTGTTAGCTCTTTATTATATAGGATAGCAAAACACAATCTATGTTTAATTCTGAACTAAATGGTAAGGTAAATATGCTTTATGCTATATTTACCATCCCAACTCTATCTAGGGTCTAGATAAACCCAGCCTTGGGAACACACTATTAAATGTAAATGGACCATTTTCTCTGATTATAGTCTATTGTCAGGCTGTGTTACAACTCACATCATGTTAAACTGAAGGCCAGCTTCATCTATCACACTCCCAGGGGCATCTGCATGCTCAAAGCTGTGCCCACTCTGGTAGCAGGAGGGGAGGGGGAAAAGGGTGGGGAGAGGGAAGGAAAGAAGGTCTGGAGAGGCTGGACTGCCAGCAGCCCCATGCACCACACCACTTCCGGGACTGTCTGCTCAGCTCCCTTCCAGGCTGCTCCTGGGACTCTGAGGCAGAGAGGAAGGAAGGTCACTCGCTCTCATGTTTATGGCCTGGGCGCTGAGGAGAGCTGTTCGGAGATGACCCCTGAGGTCAGGAGAGCACGCTGAGGGAGGGGCGGGTCCAGAGTTCCCTGTGCTCACCCAGCTGTGGCCCTCCGCTGGCTCCCTCACTGGAAAGTGCAGACTCTGACACTCCCCGGACAGGAGGGAGCAGAGAGGTGGCTGAGCCGGCCACATGGCTGGTTAGCGGCGGGTTAATTATTCTCCTCCACTCAAAGGAGGAGCCGGTCCCAATGTTCTCCTCACAGTGCGCTCCTGGTGGGTCATCCCCATCAGTCACCACCGCCTTCAAGGCCTCGACGTGACTCGTGCCCTTCACACCGGGAGAGCCGATCGCTCACTGCTCTCCCTCCAGAGGCTGGGTCTTTCTTTTTCTTCCTTAAAGTGCCTGAAGTTCTGTTGGTTTTGCTCTTTTTCTGTTCTCTTTGTGTGTGCAGGGCTCAAAAAAAAAAAAAAAAAGCAATTTATATTTTTCTTTTTTTTTTCTTTTTTTTTTTTTAATATATTTTATTGATTTTTCACAGTGAAGAAGAGAGAGGGATAGAGAGTTAGAAACATCAATGAGAGAGAGTCATTGATCAGCTGCCTCTTGCACACCCCCTCCTGGGGATATGCCCGCAACCAAGGTACATGCCCTTGACCAGAATCGAACCCGGGACCTTTCAGTCCCCAAGCCGACGCTCTATCCACTGAGCCAAACCGGTCTCTGCTGATAGTTAGACATCCTTATTACACGCGCTTTTAAATGTGATTTACCTCATTGCAAGCATCTACTGTAACTCTGAGGGCTGTGTGGCCATCAGCTCCCAGCGTGTCTGAAAACGTGACCATGAGCTCTTGGGAGCCAGGGCCTCCGGAAGGGATGGGACTTACTCTGAGCAGAACCACGGTCCCTGTGGGTCCCCGTCCACCTACCCAACCACGTGGATGCTTCCCAGGGAGGTCTCCTCCGGGCCAGTCCCTGTGCCGGCACCCCACACCTCGTGTTTTCGTCAGGGTCAGGGCAGCCTGCAGAAGGAGACCTGAGGCCTGGCCGGTAGCTCAGTTGGTTAGAACGTCGTCCCAATACACCAGGGTTGCAGGTTCGATCCCTGGTCAGGGCACATACAAAACTCAGCCAGTGAACGCATAAACCATCACCCAATGAACGCATAAATCAGTGGGACAGAAACTGCTGTTTCTCCCTCTCTGTGTGTCGGGGGTGGGGGGGGAGTTGGGGGTGGGTAAAGGGGGGGTTGATTGTTCCCTGTTTTGCAGAGGAGCACACGGAGGCCCAGGGAAGTGAAGTGTGTTCCCCGATGTTAAAGCACAGTTGAGCCCGCCCGCAGGGACTGTGGGAATCTAGACTCTGGAAGGACAGCCCTGGCCCTCACACCTCCCAGCGTGGGGCTGAGCGCCCTGGTCCTGAACGGGCTGCTGTGCCCAGCGCGCGCGCAGAGCCACACAGGAACGGTCTGCACCAGGACCGGCCCGGGCCGGCTGGGGCCCGCCGCTCAGAAGTCAGGTCTCTGTGGCCCGTGGCGCCCCACAGCCGTGGCGTGCCTGACTCCGTCTCCCTCCCCGTGTCTGCTCCGCACAGGTTCGGCCGGAAGCCCTGCCTCCTGCTCACCATCCTCGTCAACGCCACGTCGGGAGTGCTCATGGCCGTGGCCCCAACCTACCCCTGGGTCCTACTGTTCCGCCTGGTGCAGGGGCTGGTCAGCAAGGTGGGCTGGCTGATCGGCTACATCCTGAGTAAGATGCCTGGACCGCCGAGGGGGCGCTCAGGGTGGGCGCTGCCAGCACACAGGCGGGGGGGGGGCAGGCAGGTGGGGGTTGTAGGCAGGTGGGGGTGGCAGGCAGGTGGGGTGGTGGGCAGGTGGGGGGATGGCAGGCAGGGAGTGGGGGGGCAGGCAGGTGGGGTGGTGGGCAGGTGGGGGGATGGCAGGCAGGGAGTGGGGGGGGCAGGCAGGTGGGGTGGTGGGCAGGTGGGGGGATGGCAGGCAGGGAGTGGGGGGCAGGCAGGTGGGGTGGTGGGCAGGTGGGGGAGGCAGGTTTAGGGTTAGGGTTAGGGTTAGGGTTAGGATTAGGGTTAGGGTTAGGGTTAGGGTTAGGGTTAGGGTTAGGGTGAGGTAAGGATGCCAAGGGGTGCTATTGGCTGCCCGCCACAGCAGACCCCACGTACCAGCTATCCGGGCGGCAGTGTGGCTGCTGGGACACGTGTGTGGGACTATGAGGAATCCACCTGCAGGAACTGAAACTGCCTCAGCCTCCACGCCTCTCCCTCCAGCCCCTCGGCACCGCCCAGGGAAGCCTCTGTGACCGGAGGCACCTGTTTAGGGAGCACTCCCTCCGTCTGACTCTGCAGAAAGTGCTTCCGGGTCATTCGCAGCGTCCACAGAGACATTGCTAGGGCGCGTTTCTGTTTGGTTCATAAAGCGCTGAAGCCTTCGACACAACCACCAACACTAACCAGAACCTGCGGCCCGTGGACCATCTCGAATCCCAATTCCCGTGCGTGAGCGATGCAGAGACAGCTGCTCCCCGCGTCCTGGCAGTGCGGGGTGCACAGGCGCCGTGATGCCATGGGTGGTGGGGAGCTGGTTGTTTTAACGCGTGCGGGGGCGTGCGGGCGGACTGGCTGGCGGAAAAGGAAAGCCGCGATTCATCGGGTTATAAATGCCTCCGAGTTACAAAAGCTTAAGGTGCCTGCGGGGTTAGCAACCAGCTCGCAGAACCCCAGGGCACTTAACGTCCGTGAGCGGGAGCCGGCCCGCTGGCTCCAGGCGGGACCCCGCGAGCCGCCCAGGCCGCGCCCACAGTGACGGAGGCCGGCAGCGTGTGCCTGGCGGGGAGCGCGGCTCCACGGAGGAAAGCCGGCCTCCCCCGGAGTTCCGTGCGGAACCACGTGCTCCGGTTCTGAGTGGTCACGGCCGCCGTCCTCTGCGCCAGGACTCTGCGGGGATCGGAAATGCGGTGGCCTCCGTCCCTGAAATTATCCTGGGAATCAGACATGTTGCTCACCACCCCATCTAATGTAGGACTATGAGATTTTTCCATAAACTAGCTCCATAGCAGGAATTCTAACACAGGCTTAGGGGACATTTTATTTTTATGTATTTTTTTATTTTTTTACAGGAGTCCACTCTTAGGGAGCGTGTTAAAGCTGCGGGAGCGGCGTGGGAAGGTCTAGGCGCTTGGGGGTGGCGTTCTGGGTGGGCGGTGAGGGGCAGCCATGGCCGGGCGGCCGGCCGCTGACCCCGCGCTCTCCCGCAGTCACGGAACTCGTGGGGCTGAGCTGCCGGCGCACCGTGGGCATCTGCTACCAGGCGGCCTTCTCCGCGGGGCTGCTGGCGCTGGCGGGGGCAGCCTACGCGCTGCCGCACTGGCGCTGGCTGCAGTTCGCCGTGACCGTGCCCAACTTCTGCTTCCTGCTCTACTACTGGTGCGTCCGGCCGCGGCGGAAAACCGGTGGCCGTGTTTTTCCTGCCTTCCCCTCTGTGTGCCCGGGGACCTGCCATCCTGTCCCCCCTCCGTGCACCCTCCTCTGCGTGCCCGGGGACCTCCTCTCTGTCCCCCCTCCGTGCACCCTCCTCTGTGTGCCCGGGGGACCTGCCATCCTGTCCCCCCTCCGTGCACCATCCTCTGCGTGCCCGGGGGACCTGCCATCCTGTCCCCCCTCCATGCACCCTCCTCTGCGTGCCCGGGGGACCTGCCATCCTGTCCCCCCTCCGTGCACCATCCTCTGCGTGCCCGGGGGACCTGCCATCCTGTCCCCCCTCCATGCACCCTCCTCTGCGTGCCCAGGGACCTGCCATCCTGTCCCCCCTCCGTGCACCCTCCTCTGCGTGCCCGGGGACCTGCCATCCTGTCCCCCCTCCGTGCACCCTCCTCTGCGTGCCCGGGGACCTGCCATCCTGTCCCCCCTCCGTGCACCCTCCTCTGCGTGCCCGGGGACCTGCCATCCTGTTCCCCCTCCATGCACCCTCCTCTGCGTGCCCGGGGACCTGCCATCCTGTCCCCCATCCGTGCACCCTCCTCTGCGTGCCCGGGGACCTGCCATCCTGTCCCCCCTCCGTGCACCCTCCTCTGCGTGCCCGGGGACCTGCCATCCTGTCCCCCCTCCATGCACCCTCCTCTGCGTGCCCGGGGACCTCCTCTCTGTCCCTCTGCCCCCCAGGCCCACCGCGTAGGCTTCCCTGGTGCTCAGGGTGTCCCTGGCTGTGCAGCCCCTGCCAAGCTCCCTCTCCTCTGCCGGTGCCTCGCTGAGCGAGGTCCCTCCCAGAAACCGGGTGGCGTGGGGCGGGGCCCGGGGTGCCCCTCCGCTCACGCCCCGCTCACGCCCCGGGAACCCAGGTGCGTGCCCGAGTCCCCGCGGTGGCTGCTGTCCCAACGCAGACACGCCGAGGCCACGCAGGTGCTCCGGCTCATCGCCAGGAGGAACGGCAAGGCCGTGCCCGCGGCGCTCCAGGTGAGCCGGCGGCGGAGGGCGGGCACGGCGCCGTCAGAGGGCCAGACGGGCAGCAGGGCCTTCTTCCTGGGACCAGGAGTCGTGGTTCCCTGCCAGACGTTTCAAACGGGAGGGCGGGGGGAAAGCACAGTCACCTGCAGGGGAGGCGCCAGCATCATTAACAGGGGGCACCCTTCTCTGGGCCTGGGTTACCCCCGGACTCCAGCTTCCTCTCCTGTGAGATGGGGACCCACGCACCCACGTCCAGGACGCTGTAGGACGGGAGGAGCGGGCTGTGGGAGGGCTGAGCGGCCCTGCCGGACAGCACTCAGCGGGGCGGACTGCGCCCTGCGGGGGCGGGACCCTCCGCTCACACCGATGGTCCTCGTGTCCAGTGCCTCCGAGCCGAGGAGGAAGCCGACGAGAAGCCGAACCCATCGTTCCTGGACCTGGTCCGCACCCCCCAGATCCGGAAGCACACCCTGGTCCTGATGTACAACTGGTAAGGCCTGCTCTTCCCTCAGGCCCTCCGGCGCCGGGGCCAGGGCTGAGCGTCAGCCTGTGAGCTCGGCCACGGTCCGACTCCCGGTCAGAGCCTGGGTTGTGGGCGCGATCCCCGTTGGGGGTGTGCAGGAGGCAGCTGATCCATGATTCTCTCTCATCATGGATGTTTCTCTCTCCCTCTCCCTTCCTCTTTGAAATCAACAAAAACATGTTTTTAAATAAAACATAAAAAAAAAAATCCTTCCAAATTCTTCTAATCCCGATCACTCGCTTTGTGGGAGGGAACAAGACTCCTCCAAACAGCCCGGTTCCAGGGTCTGTGTCGGCGTGGGCAGCGAGGCGGCCTGTCTGCAGCCGTTTCCCTGGCGCCACACTGCTCGGGCCCAGCGTCTGGCGCCAAAACCCCAGCCAGGCCTCCCCAGCCGTGGCTCCCTCCCCTTCGCCTCACCCGGAGGCGTTTAGATATCACGCTGGAGCCCGCCCCGCCAGGACGCTGTGAATTGACCGAGGGAAGGGCTTGAGAACCCCCTTTACAGCCACACAGAGGGTCCTGGCACAGCTCAGCCGATGCCGGCCGCCGATCTCTCCGACAGTGCAGGGCTGGCAAGGAAAGGGCCTTTCCCGTCTCTTCTTCCTGGAGAAGTGGCGCTTTTTTAAAAAATATTTTTATTTTTTAAATTACATAGAGGAAGAGAGAGGGATAAAGAGTTAGAAACATTGATGAGAGAGAAACATCGATGAGAGAGAAACATGGATCAGCTGCATCCTACACACCCCCTACTGGGGATGTGCCCGCAACCAAGGCACATGCCCTTGACCGGAATCGAACCCAGGACCCTTCAGTCCGCAGGCCGACGCTCTATCCACTGAGCCACACCGGTTTCGGCGAGAAGGAGCTTTTGAACAGGAATGAGCCGGTGGCTCCGCACGCAGGGCCTCAGGCCTGATGGTGCCCGCTGCCTGCAGGCTGCTCTGCAGCCCAGGGCCACCCGCACCGCGCCCTCCCACCAGTGCCCACGGTGACACACACCCGCCACCCAAAGAGCCACCATCAGTTCAGCCCCGGCACAGCGCTGTGTGAAAACACGCAGCCGTGAAATTAGGCCTCGAGCTGCTTCTTCCTTTAACTGAGTCACGGCAGCTCTTGCAAACCGTCCTCACATTGCCCGGCGAGACAGTGAGCTGGCGAGACAGTCAACAACCCAGAAGCAGCATCAGATGTCACTTGCTTGGCGGCAGGAGAAGCCATTAAGCAGGGCGCTGCCGTGGGCCCTTCGGCTCCCAGAACGGGAGGAGCCTGGGTCCTCTGCTCCCAGCGTTAGGAGCCCAGAGTGGCGCCCCCCACCGAGCACCCGCAGGTTTTACTGAGTAAACCCGCTCCTGAGACAGGGCCTCCGCCTGTCAGAGCGGCCAGGGGCGCTCTCCTCCGTTCTCCCCGTCCCGGCTCCACCGGGCCAGAGAGTGAAAACGCAGTGGGTGTAAGGCCGTGGTCGGCAAAGTGCGGCTCTGGAGCCCCATGCGGCTCTTTAGCCCCTGGAGTGTGGCTCTCCCACAGAACACCACGGCCTGGGCGAGTCTGTGTTGAAGAAGTGGCGTTAGAAGAAGTTTAAGTTTAAAAAATGTGGCTCTCCAGAGAAATGTGAGTCGCTGTGCTGTTGGTATTCGGCTCTGCTGACTCATGAGTTTGCCGACCGCGGGTGTAAGGAATAGGAATAATAGGAAAAGAGGGTGGCGCTCCCAGAAGCCCCCTCCCCGGCGGCACCCGCCAGCCTGACCCGCGCCCGCCTCCCGCCCAGGTTCACCAGCTCCGTCCTCTACCAGGGCCTCATCATGCACCAGGGCCTGGCGGGGAGCGACATCTACCTGGACTTCTTCTACTCGGGGCTGGTGGAGTTCCCCGCCGCCCTGCTCATCCTGCTCACCATCGACCGCGTGGGCCGCCGCAGGCCCTGGGCTGCCGCCAACATGGTGGCGGGGGCGGCCTGCCTGGCCTCCGTGTTCATCCCGGAAGGTGAGTGTCCGCCCCGGTCCTGGGGAGCGGGTACCCAGCCCCTGACAGGAAGGCCGTGGACGTTACCATGTGGACGGTCGATGTGGAACGAACCTGCTACCGGGACCTTCATGACACACACGTGCCTTTTTTTTTTTTTAAATATTTTTTATTGATTTTTCACAGAGAGGAAGGAGAGGGATAGAGAGCCAGAAACATCAATGAGAGAGAATCATCGATCAGCTGCCTCCAGCACACCCCCTACTGGGGATGTGTCCGCAACCAAGGCACATGCCCTTGACGGGAATCAAACCTGAGGCCCTTCAGTCTGCAGGCTGACGCTCTATCCACTGAGCCACACTGGTTTCGGCAACGCATGTGCCTTTGAGTACACTCGCACCGCCCGGCCGGCGTGACCCAGCGGATTGACCTAAGAACCAGGAGGACAGGGTTCAGTTTCCCGGTCAGGGCACAGGCCCGAGTGGTGGGCTCCATCCCCAGGGTGTGGTGTGCATGAGGTAGCCGATCCATGATTCTCTTTCATCATTGATGTTTCTCTCTCTCTCCCTCTCCCTTCCTCTCTGAAATCAATCAAAAATATATTTTGCTAAAAAAGAGTATTCGCCCCCGATGGTTGCCCGTGGGGATATAGTTACGCCGAGTGTTCTCTGGGGGGTGGAGGCCCATGCTACCAGGCATCCGGCCGCCGGAGCGCAGGGATGGGCTGTGGGTGAGGAGGCCCGGGGTTCAGTCTCACCCCGCACTTCCCAGACGCTATTAGGCAACGCCCTTGACCTCCCACACCGCCTGCCAGCTAACGAGACCCCGAGGGGCTGCTGCAGGGACGGCCTCCAGCTCCTCTCCTCTCAGCACACCTCCCAGTGAGGGCGGCCAAACCCTGCCCCCCGGTCCTCCCGCCACGGGGAGCGATGGCTGGCCCTTCGATTACGGCCACCACGCAGACTGCCCACCCCACCCCAGCCACCCGCCCGCTGTTCCTCGCGCGGCCCCTGCAGACAGAGGCGGCCGCCTGGCCACGGGGAGGGCTGGGTCACTCCTGACAGAGCTCTCGGGGAAAGCGTGTCCGCCTGGCGTCTGAGGTTAAATAAACAGACGTGTCTGCGGCATCGCCTGACGCTGCGGAAGAACCACGTGTGTTCTCCTGTCCCGCTGGGAGGTGTCCGTCCCCCCGCACCCCGCACCCCGCACCCCGCACCCCGCACCCCGCACTGCTTAAGGCCGGGTGTGCACACGGGTGACGGCTGTTTGCCCGCAGACCTGCAGGGGCTGAGAGTGGCGGTCGCGTGCTTGGGTCGCATGGGGATCACCATGGCCTACGAGATGGTCTGCCTGGTCAACTCGGAGCTGTACCCCACCTTCATCCGGTGAGAGCACCCGCAGGCGGTGTTCCCTGCCAGAGCCGCGGGGTCGGCACAGACGCCTCCCTTAGGAAGCCCGGGACCCGGGGGAGCGCCTCCCGGCAGGAGCCACGGCACAGCCACGGCACAGACACGCGGCAGCTGGGTGGAACAGGGTGGAACAGAACCTGCGGGGACCAGAGGCCCTGAATCGCCAGAGGCGGTTACCCAACAGCCCCAGGGCCGGAGAAGCAGGGGCCCCAGGATGAAAGCAGAGAGTGAACATCGCCCACACTTTAAAGCTTCCAGAATGTGTGTCCTGTGTGTATGTGTCGTGTGTGTGTGTGTGTGCAGTGTGTGTCATGTGTGTATCATGGGCAGTGTGTGGTGTGTGTGCATCTGTGTGTCTCTGTGTGTGAATGCTATGTGTGTTGTGTGTCATGTGTGGTGTGTGTGCCATGTGTGTGTGTGTGTATTAGAGGTCCAGTGTGTGTGTGTGTCATGTGTGTCATGTGTCATGTGTGTGTGTTGTGTGTGAGAGTGTATGTCGTTTGTGTGCGTCTGTGCGTCTCTGTGTGTGTGTGCTCTGTGTGTTGTGTGTCTGTGTGTGTGTATCGTGTGTGGTGTGTGTGCGTGTGTGGTGTGTGTGTGTGTATGTGTATCGTGTGTGGTGTGTGTGTGTGTGTGTGTCGTGTGGTGTGTGTGTGGTGTGTGTGTGTGGTGTGTGCGTGTGTATGTGTATCGTGTGGTGTGTGTGTGTGTGTGTCTGTGTATGTGTGTGTATCGTGTGGTGTGTGGTGTGTGTGTGCGTGTGGTGTGTGTGCGTGTGGTGTGTGGTGTGTGTGTGTGTGTGTGTGTGTGTGTGTGTGTGTGTGAGCGGAAAGGACCGTAAACGCCCATTCCAGTTCACAGGCGCCAGTGGTGGGGCTGCCCGTGACAATGGGCCGGGGACAGGGCCGCTCTGGGGCGGTCAAAGGTGAAGCCCGCTCTCGGCTGCAGGAACCTGGGGGTCCTCGTCTGCTCCTCCCTGTGCGACCTCGGCGGCATCCTGGCGCCCTTCCTGGTGTACCGGCTCACCGGCGTCTGGCAGGAGCTCCCCCTGCTGATTTTCGGTGAGAAGCCCTGAGGGGTCTTTGAATGGACACCTATTTTTCCAGGGCCTTGTTTTTCCACCCCAAAATAGGTGCCTGATAGGGACAACTAGTATGACTAGGAACCAGTCGCACCACCAGCGTTGGTAAAACTAGTGCTAGGAACACCAGGGTGAGCAATGTGGTCAGCAGCTGCCACTGCCAGGTCGGGAGCCTTCGGCCTCCTGCCCGCAGAAGCACAAAGTCAAGGTCGGACTGGAGGCCAAGGGCGTTCCCTGCAGGAGCCCCGCTCTCCGCCTGCTCCGTCCTCCCCGTCTCCCGTCACAGGGCTCCCTCCCTCCATTTTGAGGAGAGAGGCTGTTACAATGGTGCCAGCCTAAAGCAAACAAACAAACAGAACGCCGCTCCCAGCACTATACTAGGAACTCAAAGACTCAAACACTACAGGTTTGCTACCCACCCCACCCCCGCCCCGACATATATTATACAAAGAATTAGAGCTGCAGACCAAGCACAAAAAGAGCAGGAACAAAAACAGCTGATTCTTCGAAATCCAAGACCCGCCTCCCCTGTTCCCGCAATCCGTCTAACAGCCAGCGGCCGCCGCATTCGCCGGTAACAGCCCGGGTTCCCGGCTGCTTTCCTGGCCACGTGCTTCCCGTTGGCAGGGCTCTGTTCTCGCTTTTCTTAGAATTGGAGTGTGTGTTTCACGGCATTTTCTAACTCCCAAGCATCTTAGTTTCGTGGCAAGGTCCTCGCCGAGAATAAACCGGCTCACGTGTGAGTGGCCGCGTTCCTTTCCCCTATAAGGACGCGCGGCCAGCGGGGTTCGGGATCAGCACGGTGTTGACGGCGGCGAGCAGGCTGTCAGAGGGCAGAGAGCTGCGTCAGGGGCGGAAACGACACAGACAAGATTTAAGGAACAAGGGAGCTCTAATTATAGCGCCAGAAGGTCCCCTTCTTTTTTTTAAGGCCCTCTGATTGATGTCAGAGGGGGAGGGAAAGGGCGAGGCGGAAACGTCAATGAGGAGAGAGAACCGCCTCAAGCACGCCCCCCACTGGGGATGGAGCCCGCAACCCAGGCCTGTGCCCTGGCCCGGAACCGCCCTGTGACCTCCTGGTTCCTAGGTCAGCGCTCAGCCACCGAGGTCCTGGGTCAGCGCCCAGCGGGCTGAGGTCCCCCTCACTGCGTCCCCATCTGCCTGCCTTCCAGCTGCGGTCGGCCTGGTGGCCGGAGGGCTGGTGCTGCTGCTGCCGGAGACCCGGGGGCAGGCGCTGCCGGAGACCATCGAAGAGGTGGAGAAGCTGGGGAGGTAGGCGCTGACCCCCACGTGCGCGGCAGCCGGGTGGAAGGAAAGACGAGGTGGGGTGTGGACCTGAGCCCACACAGGAGATCAGTTCGCACACAATCAGACTTGAGAATGCAAAGCAGGAGCCGTAAAATAAGGAAGATGCCAGGGAGAACACCTCTGCTTTCCCATGGCCCGACTCGGGACCACTCCAAAAGACCCTCAGCGTGCCTGTGGGAGCCCCCTCCCGTCCCGAGTGGTTCAGGGTTCAGGTTCAGGATTCTGGTTCCGGAGGAGGCCGCACACAGATGAAAGAGACTAGAAAAGCATTAATTTGGGAATAGTGGGGGCCAGGTGGGAGCCCACCTCTAGGGGGAGGACTACGCCTTGCTTTGGCCTGGCCCTCCCTTTTATTCAGGTTTGGGACACACCCATTGCCTTTAGGCAGGCAATTCCAGTGCAGACTACCTGCGAGGATTTACGGGATTATTTGGCGGGGAAGTTGCTTCAGCTGCCATTGTCTCAATTAGGTAGGGCGTGGTTGGCTCTGACCTTTCAGAGCGCCAAGGTTGACCAGCCTTCCCCGTTCCTTGCTCACGTCTTTCTGTTAGTGAGACAACGATCCGTTTCCAGCACCTGCCCTCGTAAACATTAAAATTCTGCTTTGAAAACCTACTCTAGCTGAAACCAGTTTGGCTCAGTGGATAGAGCGTCGGCTTGGGAACTGAAGGGTCCTGGGTTCGATTCCGGTCAAGGGCATGTACCTTGGTTGCGGGCATATCCCAGTAGGGGGTGTGCAAGAGGCAGCTGATCGATGGCTGTCTCTCATCGATGTTTCTAACTCTCTCTCCCTTCCTCTCTGTACAAAATCAATAAAATAAAAAATAAAAAACTACTCTACGCTTAAATAGTACCACAGACTTAGAGAAAATAGGTACTCCCCCACAGAGGGTTAATTTCCCCGATGTGGAAAGAGCTCTCACAAGTCATAAAAGCAACCACCCAATAGGAAACATGACAAAGGATTTGAACAGGTAATCCTGAGGACGCAAAAACAGCTCTTAAATATCCGACCTCCTTCCGAGGAAGCGCGGGGCAGACACCCCTGCTCGGATCGCCACGTGGACGGTTGGTGATGGCCCCGGTGGGGACACCAGTGTCAGGAAGGAAGGTGGGGACAGCGTCCTGTAGTCCAGGCTGGAAACCGTTCTGAGGGGCGAGAGGACAACAGGATAGAAGCTGCCACGGTGCATGCCTTTTACCCGCAATGCCACGCTTCCAGATGTACATACCGGTATGAAAACATGTGTGCCAGACTATTCGCTAAGGTAATTCTTCTTACGATGACAAGACTGGAGACAACCCAAATGCCAGTTAATGGGGAGACCAGTTATATAAACGATGGCATGTGATTCAACAGAATGTCACACGGCCATCAGAGAAAAAGCAGCAGCCTGGCCGGTGCTCTGTGAACCCCCAATCCGGGCACGTGCCCTCACCAGGGATGGAGCTGTGACCGCCAGGTTCATAGAGGGACACTCACCCCTGAGCCACGTGGCTGGGCTCACTGCATACTTTTTGGTACCTTCTGGATTTTGAGCCATACAAACCTACTTGAACAGTAAACCTTTTTGAAAATTTAAGAGAGATGTAGATGGCATACTTCCCACAAGTTTGTTTTGTGCTGTATGCGTCGATGTTGTTATTTATCTTATCCAGGCGCCATCTGGGGCCCCTGGCGCCAGGTGTGTCCACGCTGTACCTTGTGCACTGAGCACGTTCTGGAGGAGCCGTCCTGAGGAGCCGCGGTGTCTGGGCCCCCAGAGCTGGGAGCGAGCGTTGGACGAGGCCTTTATATATATATATTATTGATTTTTTACAGAGAGGAAGGAGAGAGGGATAGAGAGTTAGAAACATCGATGAGAGAAAGAGATTGATCAGCTGCCTCTTGCACACCCCCTAGTGGGGCTGTGCATGCCCTTGACCGGAATCGAACTTGGGACCTTTCAGTCTGCAGGCCAACGCTCTATCCACTGAGCCACACCGGTTTCGGCTGGACAAGGCCTTTGAATTCAGCCGGAGGCCGCACTGGCCGCCGCAGGACGCCTGTGAGCTCGGCCCACATGCTGGCTGTTCGGTGGGAAATTCCCCGCCCGCTGGACTCCAGCATCTGGGAATGTAAACAAATAGGCAGAGGACTGGGTAACGCTGAGAAGACACTTCCTCCCTCTGACAGCTAGCAGGTGCTGAGTGACGGCTCCACGCTTTGGAGGGCCCCCCGCCCCCCCTCCCGCCCCGTACCCCACATTCCTGTTCTCTAGGGCCTGGTGCAGTGGTGCTCTCTGCCTGGTGCACTGAGACGTTGCAGTTTGAGGTCCTGGACCCAGATGCCCGTCCCCCATCCCCCGATCTCAGTGCAGTGTCCGTCCTCCCCCCATAAGGACAGACTGCATCCCATGCATGTCCTCTCCCAGGGCCACACAGAGCAGGTGCACACAGGCCGCCGGAGTACGTGCTGAGCTCCTTCCACAGTGCTCCTCCCTCGGGTCCCGGGCCTCCCCCAGCCAGCCGTCAGGACAGGCCCTCACATTGCCATCCATGTGGCCTTCACCCCAGGCCTCGTGTCCTCCTCTGGAAGTGGGCTGGCCTGGGTTTCCGTAACACCTGGCACTTGGTCCGGGTCCAGTAACCACTGGGCTCGTTCACAAAAGTCCATACAGCCGCCCCCGGAACAGGGTCTGGGGGCCCGTGTGCTTTATGGGAACCGACTTTCAAAGCACGTTCTGCACGGTGTAAGGCAGAGAGTGCCGCTCAGGGAGGCCCGCATACACCTGCCCTGGCCTCAAGGCCGCCACCGACAGGAACATGTCACGTCAGGGGCGCCACAAAATGAGGAAAACAGCCTTCCTTCGGGAGTCAGCCTCCAAGACAAGCTGACTGGGATGCGGGCCACGTGAGCAGATGCGTGAGCAGATTTTTCACGTATCCGGCTGTTGAAACGTAAATGAGCGCTGGTAAAAAATAATTCCCCCACGCTCTTTGGAGAACTGATGGTCTGGGTTTTGCAATCTTCATCTTTAACTGGAAAAGATTCAACGTAGACATTTCCCACACTCCTGGCGACGGAGGAGAGGAGAGCACCTTAAACAACGGCTCCGGCCCGCCTCCCTCTCACACGGAGATGCAGGAAGCAGTCCGGCCGCATGGCTGCTCGCCAAGCTCTGCCCACGTTCTCAGTGAGAGTCCCCACCCGGAGCTCACTGCACCAGGCATGCAGGCTCTGCCCCGGTCTTTCTTTCTTTTCCTTCCTTCCTTTCTTTTTTTTTTTTTTTACAAAGTGGAAGGGAGAGGGATAGAGAGAAAGATCAATTAGAGAGAATCATTGATCCGCTGCCTCCTGCACACCCCCTACTGGGGATGTGCCCGCAACCAAGGTACATGCCCTTGACCGGAATCGAACCTTGGACCTTTCAGTCTGCAGGCCGACGCTCTATCCACTGAGCCACACCGGTTAGGGCCTGCCTGTGTCTTACTGCCTTTATTTATTACCCCTGTGACTTTGGTATCCAGTCTACTCATGAATGCTCTCCCCCGTCTCCGACTGTTTTGCAGACCAAGGAAACACAGAGAAAAGAAAATCTACTTCCAAGTCAAGAAACAAGACATCCCACTGAACTGAGAGAGATCTGCTCTGCACGCGCTTCGACAACACCGGCTAGAACCAGAGTCCTGCTCTCACCCAGAGCCCACACACCCCTTCCTTGTCTGTGAATCCCAGGAACCCAGACCTACCACGAGTGGAGGTGCTGCACGGAGGTGTCGCCCTCTACCTGCGGGACCAGATCCGCAGCCCCTCTGCCCCTCCTCCCCAGCTTTCCTGGGACAGTGGCCTTGGTGTGCTGGGGTCTTCATTCCCTCTCCGTGTTTCTTTATTTTACTTCATTCTCCACATGGATATCAAATCAAGACACATAGGGGTGTTGTGAGCCAGGGAAACAGAAAAGATCTAAAAAGCAATAAACTTGGACACAGAGAGCCTGTTTTCTTAAAGCAATAAAACAGCCAGAGCAATAGCAGGCTGTCCAGAACACGTGCCAAAAGCTTTCGTCTCTTCGGTATCGCAGGTAAAGAGGGTTTAGAACACGTGGGTCACTGTCTGAACTCGGACTTAAGGAGCCTGAAGTAGAAGGATCAGGAATGGCCACTGAGCAGCCACTGGGTCTCTGTATTTAGAGCGGACAGTGCCAACGTGTGCTTCCTGTGGTCGGCAAACCGCGGCTCTTTGGCCCCGTGAGTGTGGCTCTTCCCCAAACACCAGGGCCTGGGCGAGTCTGTGTTGAAGAAGTGGCGTTAGAAGAAGTTTAAGTTTGAAAAACTTGACTCTCCAAAGGAATTCCAATCGTTATCCTGTTGGCATTTGGCTCTGCCGACTAACGAGTTAGCCGACCACAGGACTGGGAGCCGCGTTTGTGTTGGCCTCCTTAACCCACGGGCGATACCGTCCGGTCTGATAAAGGTGTGTCTCGTTGTTAGATTGAAGATAGTGTGCCTATATTTTACCAAAGGAATACAGCAAGCAGGTTTTTAAAGCTAATCCTACCAGATGTATACTGAAAAGCAGAACATTACCTTGGTCTGCCCTACCAGCTCCTCAAAGTCATTTTCACCAACATTAGCTGTCTTTTCCCTTTGATTTACCCTCATGGATCTAAATAACTTACTTTACGTTAACACTTGTTGATTTTTGGGTTTTAATGATCACCTACTAGCTTTTAAATTCACCTCTCCCTCCATCCCATCACACAACTCTCTCCCCTTCACGCCTTGCTTTGTCCGTTTTTATTAAATCCGTCAACCTCCGGTCACACCCTCGTGCGTGTCATTACTGTCAAAGCCGGGCCACCTGGGGAGCTGTGGCTGCTCTTCCCTCGGCCTCTGCCCTCCCGGGCCCTCCATTACCAGGCTCCCTCTCTGCATGTTCACCCCCCCACAACGCCCCCATGCACCCCAGCACTCCGGGCTGGTTCCTGCGCCTTCCTCCGTGGTCTCCAGGCCGCTGCCCACCTGCTGCCCTGCGCTCCTCCCTGCTCCCCCATCAGCTCCAGCCTTTCTCGGGGCGAACCCCTGACCCTGAGTCCCAGGCCATCCTCGCTCCTGGGTTTCTCCCTTGTTTGGAAGAAGGCAGAGCACACACTGTCCCTGTGACCCTCTCCTGACCTCAGGGTCACACCACAACTCCCGGCCTGGCCCTGCCATGGCTCCCCAAGCCCCCCGTCCGTCCCCGCCTCCCTGCCCCCCCCAGGTCCCCGGTAGGAAGTGGGGGCAGGAAGCCCACATCCCCTCTCAGGAAGGGGTCTGGCCACCAGCAGGATGGGCTGCAGAGGCGCCTGGCACCCCTCGGCAAGAGCTGGCTCTGGGCCCGTGAAAGTGCCCTCTCCTCCCTTGGCATAGCCTCCTCCCCTCCTCTCCCCTTCCCACCCCTCTCCTCTCCTCCTCCCCTCTCCTCCCTTCTGTTCCCTCTCCTCCCTTCCTGTCCCCTCTCCTCTCCTCCCCTCCTCTCCTCCCTACCCCTCTCCTCTCTTCTCCTCCCCTCTCTTCTCCTCCCCTCTCCTCCCTTCTGTCCCCTCTCCTCTCCTCCCCACCCTTCCCCTCTCCCCTCTTCCCCTCTCCCCTCCTCCCCTCTCCTCTCACAGCCATTTTGTAAGCAGCATCTGCATGAAACTGCCTTTGACACACCTGTGGTGGCTTCTAGTTGGCTGAGTAGACACGCCCAGGAAAGCAATGCCCAAATACGGGAATCTAGGGCCCATTAAATGGCACGATTGGGGTCAGCACATCGATGCCACGGAGATCTCCAAATTACTTTGCTGATTTTATTTTTTAAATAGATTTTAATTGATTTCAGAGAGAGGAAGGGAGAGGGAGTGAGAGATAGAAACATCAGTGATGAGAGAATCATGGATCTGCTGCCTCCTGTGCCCCCCTCCCATCCCCACTGGGGATAAAGCCCCCAACCCAGGCATGTGCCCTTACCAGGGACTCAACCATGACCTCCTGGTTCATAGGTCAACACTCAACCACTGAGCCCCGCCCGCCAGGCAAGAATTTTGCTTTTTAATGCCGACCCTCATCTCCCCTGGCAGGTGCAGCACATACCAGCCTTAACTACAATGCCGCTCCTCAGGGGGGGCACCAGGACCCCTGACCAGGGTCATCCACATGTGGAGGCTGTGCCTTCGGGGTCTGGCCTGGGGTCTGGCCCTCTCCCATCCGAATGCCATCCCGGGCTGCTCTCCTCACCCCCAGGCCCCTGGCTGACCCAGCGCCCGCTGATGCCAAGCCAGCCCTCTCTGGTGCCTGTCCAAAGCTGAGAGAGTGGGACTGTACCAGAGCAGGTGAGCGGGCGGCACCAGGTGTGAGTGAGGCCTGTTCGCCCGCCAATCTCCCCACAGATAGCGATTGGTGGCAGTGGGGTGGGGGACGGAGGGAGGGGCCACCGCCTGGCTCCTAGGCGCTGAGGGAGCCGGGCAGGGGCCCAATGACTCAGGCAGGGAGGGGGTGCATGGGGCCCAGGGCACAGATGCTGTCCAGGGCCCAGAGGTCACCTGGGACCTGCCCTTCCATGCCAGGCGCTCACACTTCCATCACTGGCCAGGCCTAGAAACTGCACCTGTGCACGAATTTCATGCACCAGGCCTCTAGCTTATTCATGATTCTGAGTCTTTCCTGGCCATCTCTTTGATCCAGTCATTGTAGCAAGTAGCTAAACCTTCTTTCCTAACCAAGACAAAATACAACGTAATCACTAATCAAGGCAGCCAGCCGTCAAGGGAAGATCTCACCAGTTCCTTTCCTATGAAGCAGTGAACTACAGTAACTTCGTAAATGTTTACGAACACGGGCACATGGTGCACTCGGGGTTCCTCCGGTCACTGAAGAGTCCGGCTCTCCTGACGTGTGAGGAAACAACACTAATTCCCAATTAATCCTTTAAAAAAAATCATAACGTAATCAGATTAAATGAACTATTTGTTTTTATTTATTCAAACCAGATGATGATGATAATAAAAATCTGGTCCTAATTACGTGAAAATGGGACATAGAATAACTTATCTTCTTTTCCTGGCAAACTTCTAAGAAACCAAGGTCCCAGTGTTTAACGGGGGACGGCATGCTCGCTCGGCTGTGTTGCAACCTCACCAGGTCAAGGAGATTATGCAAGACAAGAGCGCTCCCCCCTAGCATCGGCAACGATAACCAGGGCGCCTGGCCAGCCGTGTGCAATGGCCGGCTTTGTGAACTGCACTAGTCCGCATGCTGGCGGCTGACCCTGGGGTCCGCGCCACAGGGACACACTGCAGGGTGGACTGCGGCTGCGAGGGTGAGCTCTGGTCAGAGCGGGATCCGACGGGCAGCGGGGTCCGACGGGCAGCGACAAGAGCAAAGTAAGAGAAATGCACAGGGGGACACAAGCTCTGCTCCACCTACCGGCCTGTGGGGAACCCCAACTCCACGGCACCCCTGGGGATCAATCAAAATCACACGGCCTGCCTTTGGCTCTCGTGGCGGCCAAGGCCTGAGGCTCTGCTCTCCTCGGAGAAAGACGCTGCAAACAAAACATCTGGAAGGACACGGATGGTCACTTCCTATTGACTTGGGTCCTGGGAGGCCCCGAAGACACACAGCCGGGCCAGGGTTTATATCTCACATGCGGAATCCAAAGGACAAAATAAACTCATGAACAAAACAGGCCCAGAGACAGGGAAGCATGGAGCAGGCTATGGAATCTCAGTGGGAAGAGATCAGCCAGTGCACGTGGATGTATGGATGCATGGCCCTGGACACAGAGTGTGGCGAGGGCCTGGGCCAGGCGGCTCCTCTGACATGCGGAGCAGAAACTCCCCACGCGCTGAGGGTGCTGACTGCCACCTCTTCTTAATTGTGATAAAAAAAAAAAAAAAAACCCACTTGGCATTGACCAGCTTAACCACATTACGCCCATTCACAGCTATGCAGCCATCACCGCCATCATCTCCAGAGCTTTCATCTTCCCACACGGAAGCCCTGTCCTCACTGAACACTACCTGCCCCTCCACCCCCATCCACATAGCCACCCTCTTCTCTGTCTCTATGGACTTGACTACTCAGGATTGGGCTTGATCCCCAGCAGGGGTTGTGCAGGAGGCAGTTGATCATGATTCTCTCATCATTGATGTTTCTCTCTCTCTCTCTCTCTCTCTCTCTCTCTCTCTCTCTCTCTCTCTCTCTTCTCTCTCTCTCCCTCCTCCATCCCTTCCTGTCTTCCTTCCTCTCTGAAAAGAATCCTATCTAATAAAAGGGTAATATGCAAATTACTCCATCACAAATATGGCGGCCCTCATAGCCACAAGATGATGGCGCCCAGTCCTCTCAGCCCCGCCGGAGCCGAGAGAGGCTGTGTGAGGGAGGGCAGTGTGAGCAGCCTGGCGGAATGCTTTCTTGTCACCACAGCAATGAGGCAAGCCTTCCCCCTGGGCTGCAGATGGGCTCTGGGCCGTGGGCACGAGCAGCCAGGCCCGCAGAGAGCTCCTGGTGCACAGATTCCTGCACGGGGCCACCAGGTAAAAATAAGTAAATAATAAACCCATTAATGATTTCCCCTTTTCCGTGGCTCCGTGGTCTTCTAGAAACTGGGAGAGA